TGAATCAAGTTTTTGATCGTATATGAGTGAAATTAATGCAATGTCCACACTAGCTTATGACCACTTGATGGAAAGAGACCCAAATACACAGTTTATGTCATTTATGAGTTTTATAGGTGTTGTGATGTCGTAGAGAATGGAATATCATAATCTTTCAATGCAAAAATTGTGGAGGCCATGAAAAAACCCATAATAACAATGTTGGAAGAAATCAGAGTGTATGTGATGGAGAGAATATACAAACAAAAATAAAAGGGACAAAAGTGGAACTTGGATATTTATCTTTCCATTAGAAGGCAGATTGAGAAAATGAAAGAACAACAGAGGTATGGTACTTACTTGAAATACAACTTATTTTATGGAAAATTACTCACTTTATATCATTTCATTATAGGTATTGGGATGTTACTCTAAGTGGTCCACAACAATATGAAGTGAAATTATCACATGAGATGTATGCAATTGACATGGACCAAAGAACATGTGGGTGCAGAGCCTGGCAGCTTACCGGTATACCATGTTTGCATGTCATTGCTGCAATCTTGTTTTTGAATGTGAATGTAGAGGAGTATGTTGTTGTTTGGTTCACAACAAACATGTTTGGAAGCTGCTATAGATATGTTGTGAAGCCAATTAATGGAGCTGACATGTGGTCGGATACATGTCTTCAAACCATGTTGCCACCAAGGCGTAAGAGAATGTGTGGGAGACCAAAAGTGAAAAGAAAGAAATGTCCTACAGATAAAGAAGGAAAACATATTGTTAGCAAGAAGGGGGGCATTCCAAAATGTGGTAATTATCATCAAGAAGGTCACAACAAGAGACGATGTCCATTGCTAAAATAAGGTTTGATTCCTAATTACATTGTTTCTTTATTAAGATTTGGATACAAATAACTTTTTTGCTTTAAAGATGCACAAGCAGCTGAGGAACATGTGGGTGATGAGGAGGTTGGAGTTAAACAACAGGTGGCTGAACAACAAGGAGTTGATGAGGAGGTTGGGGTTGAAATTCAACTAATTTTATGGAAAATTACTAACTTTATATCATTTCATCATAGGTATTGGGATGTTACTCCAAGTGGGTGATGATGAGGTTTGCATTGAAGAACAAGTGGTTGATGAGGAGGTTGGAGTTGAAGAACAGGTGGTAACATTTCTATTTCATTAAAACATTGTTAAAGTTAAAATCATACTACAACTTAGCATACATACTATGACAAGTACATTGCCTAAGCTTACACATATATACTAAATCATTAATTTCACTAAAAACATAATTGCAAGCATGGTTATCAAACACTTTCGAATTCACAATTTCCTACTCATTTGTGCCAATTCCTTTGTAAAACTCATATATTCCGTATTCCCTTCTCTTTGTGCTCATTGAAATCGTTTTCCAAAATTGATATCATCATTTCAATGGAATCTACTTCTGCTTTTGCTTCATCTTTCTTACTCTTGTTTATTGGTCATTCATCTTCATCAACTCATTTCCACAGAGTACAGTTTGTTTTGTTTGAATCCTTCATATGCAACAAAAATAAAACAAATAACCAACCAAATAGGGAAAATGACATAACCAACCAAATATGGAGGAGAATGGTATGATAACTCACTCATCGGTTGGGACAAACCCTAAACTTTGTTCCAGGATTCCTCTTAGTGGTTGAAGTCCAAATACGTGATGGAACCCACAACTACAAGGGTAAGCATCATCAGAAACCTTATTTGTCTTCGAAATGTTTGAGCTTGAGGTTGATATTATGGATTTAGTAGAAGATGAAGTCATCATAAGACCCAAAGAAGAAGATGAAGCACGAGAAGATACGTAGGATAAGAAAAAGTCGTTGTTCCTTTTCCTTGCGACCCTAATCCGATTTAAAGAAGACAAATACAAATGTCATGTCACCCACTTCTATCCTATGTCATTAATTGTTAGGTCAACACAACAATTTTTAATCAAAGTCATCTTTTCACCCACACAAAAACCGGTTACCATTAGGTTGGATTTGAACAAAAGTTATACTTAGTTAGTGTTTTTTATACAATGACTTTAGTTGGATGATATTTTTTAAACAAACAAAACTTCAATGTGTTTTCTTGAAGTTTTTGAAACATCCCTACCTTTGTACCCTAACATTTTATATAGAATAAAAGTCGCATTTAGTGTATTTTAAAATAATGAGAAGTATCAAAATTTAGGTGTCCATTTTGGAATTGAAGCCACCAATGTGAATAATCGCATTCATACGCTCATCTGTCAACTATTAATTCGCCAAGAAATCCCGTTTCTTTCTCGTCTTTCTTTACATTTCAACGCATTATACCTCTCAAACCACCATCAAGCAGCCATCCATGGCGACCCAACCCGCTTCCGAAAAGAAAACCCTCTACGATTTCACAGTCAAGGTTAAATCTTGCTAAATTCTTTCTATCTCTCAAGAACCCAGATGTCGATTTTCATATACTGTTAGTTTGACGATTATAAGATGAATCAACTGGTCAAACATCATAAAACGTGAACATGGTCATGTCCATGCCCCCATATGTACTCAAAGTTTGGGTTTTGATGTCAAACCTCTGTCTCTTTACATGTAAAAATCGTATGGGTTTAGCTGCTAATCTGTTTCCAAGTTTGTGCTTCTTGTAACGTCTGTTGTTGGGTAATATCTAGTCAGATATTTTTTTGTCAGAAGCTTCATGATCCATGTTAATTTCGAAGCTGAAAAGTAGAAAGATTGACACACTAAAGTCAACGCTCAGCTTGATTCTTCTTCTGCAACTGTGTGTATGCGTTTAGGAAACAAATTCGTTATGGGTGCTTCAGTTTAGTCAAACATATAATTTCACTCCCTTGTAGATTTTCTTGATCTTATTTGGGTTGGATCTCATAAACTTTTATTGTGTTTAGTAGTTATTTTCTGTTTTTTTGTGATTTAATCTTCAATTTTATGCAGGATGCCAAGGGTAATGATGTAGACCTCAGCGTTTACAAGGGAAAGGTTTTACTCATTGTTAATGTTGCATCCAAATGGTAAGCATTCTTCATTATTCTCTCTTCAAATGTTCTTGCAAACCTTTTACCATTTCATCATAAGCTTTCTAGGGCTATCTTTGATGATGATGATGAGGGCATCGTACAGGGTCCCACCTTTTTGGGTGAAATAAAAACTGCAGTTTTTGTCCCATTGAGTCTAATGCATGTCAAATGCATATAACATCTTTAGTTATTCTTTATATTGCATTTGTGATTAGGTCCCCTAAAGTAGCTTACATTTACAATCAAGTTTTTTGTTTATGGGTGTTTTTGATTCGTTGTGGCAGTGGGCTTACAAATGACAACTATGCTGAATTGAATCAAATCTATTTGAAGTACAAGGAGAAAGGTTTGTAACTTTAGAAAAATAGTGTTTTTTCTATTTTGTTATTCTGCATATTGATGAATAATATAATTAATTACTTGTTTGATGAATGTAGGTTTTGAAATTTTGGCATTTCCATGCAATCAATTTGGAGCTCAAGAACCAGGAACCAATGAAGAGATTGCTGACTTTGTTTGCACCAGATTCAAATCAGAATTTCCCATCTTTGACAAGGTAAAATTCAAACAACCCAACATCAAAACATCTTTTTAATCGTTTTTCAAACAAGAAATATTCTCAAGAACACAATTAAATCTTCAACATTTGACTAGAAAATGCTGAATTTTTACACAGATTGATGTAAATGGTGACAATGCTGCACCAGTTTACGAGTTCTTGAAAACTGGCTTCTATGGAATTCTTGGAGGAGATGTTCAATGGAACTTTGCCAAGTTCTTGGTTGATAAAAACGGGCAGCCTGTCGATCGATACTACCCCACCACCTCTCCTTTTACAGTCGAGGTAAAAGACGAAAATACCCTTCTAATAGACCGATTTTATTGCTTCATCTTACATGAATATCCTTGTGTTGTTTTTGCAGAGAGATATTCAGAAACACTTGGGTCTCCAATAGATTTCAAGATTTCCACAAGTGGATGCCGAATCTTGTGTTGAATAATGGCATACCAATGTTTAATTATATGTTGTATTGTTTTAGATTCAAAAGTTTTAAGACTGTAATTCAAGAAACTTTATTTGTTTTTGTTTTTCTTACATTATTTACTTGCTTGTTTTTCCCATCTTTTTTCTTCCACATTGTTGATTGTATCCGATTTTTCCTTCGCTCCTGCATTTATGGGTCTCACAATTTATATGCCGAAAAAAAAAAATCTTGAGTCACATTTTTCCTCGCGAATAATAATGTTTTGCTTATTCCCAATGCACTTTTGCACCATGTACTAAGAATTTATTATCGCTATAAGAGGCAGCATATTTGGTTCTATTTAAGGGCTTGGAGATTCTATATACTATGGACTTATAACATTTTTGCAATGTTATTATCAGAGTCCTTCGAATTTTTGGTTATTCGATATGTTCTCAATTCGATTGTGTTTCCATACAACACATGAGTATGTCGTGGTATGTCGTTTTCAAGTGGAGCGATTGTTGGTATTATTCTTTACATACAACAATAATAACTGATTAAACTCTTCTAAATCCTTGTTTTTTATTCTTTACATATTTTTTAAGGGGGTGTTTGGAATTGTTTTTGAATTCTAAAAGTGCTTTTGGAGAAAAAAAAAAGTGTTTATTGGCTTGTAATGGTGGCAAAAACAATTTTTTGAATTAGCTTTTGTGGTGAAAAAACTATAAAAAAATATTTGACTTTATTTATTTACTTTTAAGCTATTTTGGTTAAAAAAAATAAAAAAGCCATGTATTATATGCTTTTTAACTATTCAAAAAGTATTTTTATGTTTATACAAACACTTTATGATTTGTTGACTTTAACCAATAAATTGTTTGAAAAACAATCCCAAACACCGCCTAAATATCCGTATATTTAACATCATAACATCAACTCCTTTTCTATTATTGTTGCAATTCACGAAACACTATAAAATATGCAAAAAAGTTCCACGAAAACACTAAGAAAAATAAAATTAATCCAGAAACTTTCAGATCCCAGTTCACCAAATGATCCTAGCTAGCTACAGATGGGCAAATGTGCAACTCAAGATTACTGAAAAATAAAAAATAAAAAAGTTCTACAACTAAAATAAACCATAAAGATGTCGACTTTTTTTGTTACAAATTAACAGAGAACCCATCGTCAATCATCTACATATGATACACGAACATGAGAACATGAACATGAAGGGAGATGTCGACACTTCTAGTTGAGTTGAACTCCGGGGCTCTTTTCATCACCCGATAGCGGCGGCTCAATGGCGGCCTTTGCCTTCGAATTATCTCCACCACCATACACGAAACTACAAACCACCACCTGCCGCCAACAAACGTAAGATTCCGGTTAACCAAAAAAGAGAATGTGCAAAAACGGTACCTGAACCAAGGTGGAGGCGGTAAGTTTGCCGCCAATTGCACCGCCAATCACTTGACCTTCGGAGTTACAAAGAGAAATACTAAGACCGCCAGTCCGGTTGCGGGGGCTACCAGTTTCCGCCAGCAGATATGAACCCGATAAGCATAATATCTCAAAACGACCCTAAAAAAACGCTCATATGAAAATAAAATAAATTAATAATCATAAGTTTATTTATCTATAATTCCTTAGTCTTGGGTTCTGAAAAGAACCCAAAATTCATGTCATGTCTGTGATTTGTAGGTGGTTACAAAACATGTAACCGTTTTGTAACCACCTCTAACCGTTTTGTAACAAACTGTAACCACCTACAAATCACACGCATTTACACGTGGTTACAAAACGGTTAGACTTTACAAATTAAAGTCATCGGATGAATTTGATCCAAGGGTTGAGATTGATTGAGGGGCCCAACCTCATAAGTCACAGTGCCACCGGAAGATGTAAGTTGGCGTAATGTGACGGTGGAAACGGACCCGTTGCCTGACAAGATGCATAGAGCCCTTTGCCTTTGTTGTGCAAATGATAATATCTTTTCCGCAACATCCTTCAACATAAAATTGGGTATTTCAGATATTTGATTAATAGTCGAACAATATTCTTTAAAATGTATGTAGCAAAAAAAAACATTGTGTTTGTTTTGATAATTATAGTGTTTTGTTACAAATATTATCCGCGTACTTCTCCTATTGATATGTGGATTATGTGAGGCGTGAAAGCCGATCCAGCCGAATTATGCATCCATTCGCCTACAACAACAAAACAATGAGAATTCATTAAATTGATAAAATTCTATTAAGTCGTATAGCTTATCAAATTAAGTCATGGCTGGGATAAGTTCAAAAGAAACAACACCTTTGAAGTTTATATCTAGTGAATTTTGTAATATATTTATATATAAAAAATGAGATGGAATAGGGTAAAATAAAATTATGAAAGACTAAAAAATAAATAACTTTTTAACCACTATGTTATTAAAAGATTATATAATCAGAAACATTACCAATGCATAATACTCACTTTTTATTGATAGGATTCAAAACTTAAAAACTGTACGACATACCACAATTTGCAAGCTGCTGCTTCCTTCCACTGCCAGGAGGCCTCCCCCTCTTCTTCTGTGTCCCCGGTGTGTTTTGATCCGGCGAAGTGGCCTGAGGTACAGGCTTTAGTAGTGCCAACGCCGTATTGGAGGCATCAGGGGCATACTTTCTTGGTCTCCCTCGTTTTTTCTTCATAACAGAGTCGCTCCCACTTCCACTTCCAGGGGTGGGAATGGGGATGGAGACTGCAACACCACCGTCATCAGTCCCACCACTGCCACCGCCACCACCACCGCCGCCGATGTTAAGGCTATGAGGGAAACTAGGAGGTGGGTTGTGTTCCAAATGGAACGAAGGACCCATTGAAGGAGGAGCTACCCTGATTTGGGTATGGTTATGAGGAGATAAAGTAGGGTTTAATTGAGTTTTGAAACCAGGTGGAGGGGCATGGAACCCTCCACCTTGATTACCCGACCCGACATTAGAACCCGACCCACGAAACCCTCTATTCAGATAAAACGAAGGGATTCCGTCCCTTCCGTCCATGCATTTACTCCCAAATCTAACACCCACCCACAAAAGATAAACAAAAAATTGTCCACAGACACCTCTAAATTTTTCAAAAAAATCCGACCTAAAAACCAAAATTGAGCACGAAACAAGCAAAAACAACGAATTTAAACAGCAACCCACAAACGAAAAACGAAAATTTCTCAAGGGTTTTACATGGGTTTCTCGAGAAATCAAATTTAACCCAGAAAGTGAAGGGATTTACAAACGATTCAAGCTCTATGAGCTCAAAACAGAAAAACAGGGTGCTAAAATTGAAAGAATGTAGAAACAGAAAAATAATTAGCACACACGAACCTGTGTACGATGGCAAGAGGGAGAGGTGTTGAGGTGTTTGTGAAAGTGAGAATGAGAATGAAAAAACCCTAGATTTGAAATTGCAGATGAAATGATAAAAGGAAAAGGAGTTTTGGGAAAGAGAAAGATGAAGGAGGGTAAAGACAAAAGTGAAACGGGTTTGAGGTCTTTTGAATGATATAGTACTTGGAAACAACTACAAATGACAAAACCTTTTTTTTATAAGAATTAAAAAGAAAAGAAAAGCTAAGAAAAAAAAAGCAATGAATTGCAAAAAGGTCATCTCATGTATTACCATAGTCAAACCTTACTTTTAGGATAAGTTTTATATTTTTTTCTTCAAATTAACAATTATGTGGTCAGTATAAACTCTTTTTATATTTTATTTTTTATTAGAAAATACATATTAAGTATTCAAGTTAATAAGAAATTTATTACTTAACATTTTTCAAAGTTTATTATGTTAAATAAACTATGTAAAATAAAAAAATTGTTGTGTGAATTTTTTTACATTCTTTGTAAAGTTGTAATTTTAATAAATAAGGTTTTTTCATACTTTTAATACTGTTTTATTTAAACTTTCGTATAGATATTTGTTAAAAAAATTGTTTTGTTGTTACGATGATAACATGACATCAGTTGAAAAAACTCTACCATTATTATGAATGGTTTCATATTTTTTTTTATGAAAAAAATATAATTGTACTTGTATGTTATAAGATTAATGTTAATCACTAATAATTTAGATAGTGTGTCAAAAATGATTAATCTCCAACACATATATAAAATGTATGTTTATTTCGTAAATTTAAATTTTACAAAATTTACTTTTTATATATCATAAAATGTATGTTTATTTCATAAAAATAAATTTTACAATTTTTTTTTATAAGAGAACATCATACTTTACGAAATGAATTTCATTTAACGAAAGCCTTTAAAATGTTTTTTATTGATGACCATTCATAAAGGAAATATTTAAATAAAAAAAACGCCTTGCAAAGTTCATTAAATAACATTTGATATTTTTTTATGTTTGTTCAAAATTAGATTATTTCTAACAGGATCCACATCCATTTTGTTAATTTTTTTATTAATAAAACTTATAATAGATTATGATAGCATGAGTCATGTTGATAAAAATAAAATTGCACTTGTACATTTTGTATAAAATATCTTTATAGTTAAAATTACAATGAAAAAACAAATATCATCGTTTACAAACTCAATAACATTTTCATAAACTTTATGGAATTGTTATATCATATGAACATGGTTGTATGCCATAAACATTGTGATTTCCATTTTCTTGTTTTCTAAGTTATAGGTGTTGATTAGTGTTAGATCCATGATGTACTTGTAACAATTGGTTATCTTTGATTGACAAGTCTATAATATCTTTTTGTACATTTCGTTTGCACAAACTCTCTTTTATAAATTATTGATGTGACTTCATTACACATAAGATACCCAAATTCAGCATTTTTTTTTTATGTTTTATGAGATAATAAATGAGTCAACGAAATATAAAAATATCACCATATTAACAAAATATCGAAAAGGAATTTTCATAAAACGGATAAAGGGATGGGGTTGTTGAGGGTGTGAAGAGTAAATGCTGGTGGGTTCATATGTGAGTCATGGGCAAAAGGGTTTAAGGTGAGGAAGCGAGTACAATTGTAGGACAGAATACCCTACACGTAGTCCTCTTTTGCCTATTTAAAATACCTTTAAACGTAGAACTTATGTTTGTTGTCTGTTAATGTTCTAAAAGAAATTATTAGATAGTACATGATTTTGTAACTCCAATTTAAAACCTACTAAAGAGGGTCTGGATGCACACGTTTAACTTGGTTGATTACCCATGTGGTCAAACCGCATGGCGTTAGTATCGCCTAAAAGGGATGAGAATTTGGCCCAGAAATCTGAACCGAACCGAACCGAATAATGCCCGAATATACAATTTGATTCAGGTTTCGGGTATCTATATTATGCTTATTCGGTTCTCGGGTTATTCGGTCCAGTTATCCAAATAAGAGTTTATTTAGTTCTAAATACCCAAATCGAATAAGCATTCATCGTCCCCCTCATAACAGGAAAAAAAACTACACTTGTTCTCCTTGTTTCAAAATCGACCAATCTTCTCAACTATTTCAAAACTCGAAATCACTTATGTCGATCCTTCCTCTTGTTTCATACTTTCAAAAATCGACTATTCCTATTGTCTCTAAGGATTCATGAATTCCTACTTTGTCTACTCATGGAAAATTGGGCTTCAACTCAAAAAATTCAAGTAAGAATTAATTCTCATTATGTTAATCTACTATGTAAATGTTATTCTTTCATTGTGTTACTGTGTTATGTTAGTCTTTGAATGTTTTATGTTGATGTATAAAAGTATTTTTATTCTATTATTCGGGTTATTTGGGTTATAGAATCGCAATCCGATTTATTCGGTTCTTTTCGGTTATATTAGGTCATTAATCATATTGTACATGTTATTTGGGTTATTCGGGTATTGGTTAATCGGACCGGTTTTCGGTTAATGAAATTACCCTTATTCGGTTTTCGAATTATTCGGGTTCGGGTCGGTTCGGTCCGTTTCCGACCCGAATAACATCCATACCACCTAACACCGTACCCGTACAGTAACACCACACCGTGTGGTGGGGAATTTGTGTGGTGACACAAACACCTCTCTCTCTCTCTCTCTCTCTCTCTCTCTCTCTCCCATTTCAACTGTAACATCCTAAAAATCATAGTAAAGTTTTCATTTTCCCAAAACAACCCCAAGACAATAATTGTTTACAAAAACATTGCTTCAAAAGTATAATTCATAAATGAGATTATCCCAAAATCCAATAACATAAAATCTGAAGGATGTGCACGATCACGCCTTCGCCTTCACACGATCTTCTGTAGTACCTGAAACAATAAACTAAAACTGTAAGTCAAAGCTTAGTGAGTTCCCCAAGGTACCACCACACAAAACATATAACCAAACAGATACTGGGTCCATAACCTCCTAGTTGGATTACCCCTGGCCCACAACCTTCCAGTTTGAATGCCCCGGCCCATAACCTTTCGGTTGGATTGCCTAATACATATTGGGTCCACAACCTTCCGGTTGGATTACCCCTGGCCCACAACTGTAACATACAGAACCCTAAGGTACTAAATTCATTCTTTTATTTGCATTACGAGGGTCTTCATGAAGTGAGGTCTTAGGGATCACGCCGTGATTGACCGTTGACCTGTTGACCCGCGTTTCTAGAAACTTACGACGTGAGGCATAAGGTCTCACGACGTGAGCGCGGCTTAATGACCCAAAACCGTAATTTTCGAGTATTTAAGTGAATGAGAGGCTAAGGTTATCCATCCTCAGCCTCTCTCACCCTCTAAGCCTCTGGAAAGCCCTAATCCCGACCCTCTTGAAGCTTTTAAGCATTTTTGAGATCCTTGAAGCATTCTTTGGTGGCTTTTGGTTACTTGAAGTGGAAGAAGACCTTGGTTGATCAACCTCTTGGCATTTTGGCTTTCACCTTAGAATCTCTTGGAGCTTTTGGACCATTGTAAGTCATAAAGCTTGGACATTTCTACCTATTCCATTCCAAATCTAAGTTATATGCTTCTTTTTACATGTTTGGGTGACATTGCTTGCATGGGGTCCATAAAGTTGGCAACTTTATGGATCATTGACTCACTCTCTTCATTATAGTCTTTGGATCTGAGTTTTAGTGAAGTTTAGGACTCCAAGTTTGAGTGTAGATCTCATTTTCCCCACTTTTGGTCTAGTAAGAGTTTGAGTCATGCATTGGACATGCATGACTTAAAAGATTCGATTTTTATCATCTTTTGGGTAAAGGAAGACCCCCTGGAAAGTCTAAAGTTATGGCTGAAAGGATTAAGAGCTTAATGTTTTAATCTGATCTGATCAGATCTCACGACGTGAGGTTTAGGACCTTCACGTCGTGAGGAAGTTGGCCATCCCGTCTATTTTGTCCGGATTAGGTCACAACGTGACTCAAGGTTGGGTCGCGACGTGAAGGGAACTGGAATTTTTTTGGATAAGTTGAGTTGAATCACTAAGTCGTGGCTGATTCGAGTTGTTCCTCACGACGTGACCATGGTCCGGTCACGACGTGAGAACCCGTTGTTGGAGTTTGGACCGTAGATTTTAGACCACGTTGGACCTTGGGATTTTGATTTGGACTTATTGTCTAGCATATTGGGTTTCTTTGGATTTAGGCCCATGATGGGTTTTGGGCCCAATTTAGAAAATCGGGCCATATTTGGGCTTTGGGTGGTCATTTTGGAATTCGGACCTTTTTTTTAAATAGTTTGTTTGGGATTTGGTCGTGGGCCAAGTTAGGTAAAGGGTAAAATGGGTCTTTTACCCTAGTTTAGACTCTTAGTGTGAGTCAGGATCCAATTATTAATTAGATGATATTTTTATTGATAGCGCGGTGAGTTCAGCGGACCAGCAGCTAGAGTTTTATCTGTGAGATTCAGCAGTCTGAGGTGAGTTTCCTCACTGTACTTAGCGGGTCAAAGGCATCAATGTCGGCTCATAATTATTATGATAGGATGCTATATGTATGTGTGACTCTTGCAAGTGTTATATGCTGGTATGTATACCGAGCGAGGCTTGATGTCGAGCGAGGCCCGATGACTTTATTGTATGTTATTGGTTTGTGGTTATTGCATGTGTTAGCATGATTATATGTTTATATGTTTATTATGTGTACCGAGCGGGGTCCGATGTTAGGCGGGGCCTAATGAATGACAAATCTGTAATATGAGCGGGGCGGGGCTCGATGTCAGGCGGGGCCCGAGGCCGAGTGGGACTCGATGCTGGGTGAGGCCCGATGTGGGGCGGGGGCCCAGTATGTGTTTATTATGTATGGTATGTGGTATTTTGGGGAACTCTCTATGCTTTGGACTTACAGTTTTCAGTTTATGTTTCAGGTACTTCCTGATCGAAAGGGAAGAGCTCGGGATGATTGCAGAGCACACACCACCTTTTTCCGCATTTTAAGAATTACTTTGATATGTTTTTATGTATTGACATACTTTGATCTTTTTGGGGTTTTATGTAAATGTTTGGATTACTGTTTTTATAAGTTAAAAATGAAATTTTTGGGTCTTATTTTTGGGACGTTACAATAACCTTCCGGTTGGAATGCCCCGGCCCACAACCTTTCGATTTGAATGCACCAGTCTGTTGATTGACAGCACAAAGCAGTACAGTCTCAACTGATGGGTTTTGAGCATAACAACAATTCCTAAGTGTGCATG